CAACCAAAAAAAAAAATGTATACATTAGGCAAAATGGTATATAGAGATGGATAAATCAAGAAAGAGATGCAAAAGTATGTAGCCATTTTCCCACTGATTTATTATTTTTTTAAATAAAAATCTGGAAGCAGGATTGAATGAACAAAGTTAGAAAAACAGAGAAACTGAAACAATTAGCAACAACTTTGTTCACCTGAACTTCTGTTTTTTCCTAACCGACGAAGCAGGATTGTATTCTGGACCCTCAGTATTTATGTGAACTCAGTTGGCACCACCTTAACCAAAGCAAAATTCCATCACATTCCCCATGCCGCCCTCCACTTAATAATATATAACTGGCTGTGTTTTTTTAATGCTGATGATACAGCTATTCTTTCCTCGACTCAGGTTGGCCTTTAAAGAAGTGTGTGGGCCCTATTAGACTGTTGTAACAAGGAAGGGCTAACAATAAACTATTCTAAAATAAAAGCATTGTTTTTTTAGGGATTAGGAACTTAGATGCTGCAAATTTCAGTAGTAGATAAACAAGGTTTTAACTTCAAATATCTTGGCATGGTATTCCAGTCCTCTGGAATTTGATGCGAACAAATTAAATTTATTTCTGACAAGGCCAACAATAGTGCTAGGGCCACCCTGAGCTTGTTTCACATTAAAGGAAGTAAAAACATATCCTCTGCCTTAAAAATCTAAATCCATCTTCCAGATGTTATACATGGCTCTCAAGTATTGCGTATAATAATTAAAGCCCCTAGATATTAGCCAGTCCAGATATTTAAGAATGCTATTACAAGTATCTTACTGCATTTCTAGTGCAGCACTACATTTAGAAACTAGGATGATCCCTCTGGAATCTTGAGTCTGGATAAGCTGATTCTAATGCTGGCTCATGCATCACTTTTTCAGTGATTCCCAAGCCACCAATCCCAAAATTATCTTTCTAGATCATTTTTCTTCTTTCTGGAAAACTAGAATTCAGAATTATCTATGCCAGTATCGCTTCTCATGTTAAATTCTCCTGACTAGGGGGTTATCAACAGCTAGTTCTGCAAATCCAGCAGTGGGTATTTGATAGAGCTCTCCAGATAGATCAGATGACTTGGGAAACCAATACAGGCAGAAATAATCAGGAAACTCTTCACACCAGCAGATTACCTATTCAGTATTACCTGCCCAACACGTTCTTTCTTTGGCCCACTTTACTGTGTTCCCCTCAGAGATATTGGAGGAAAGGTATAACAATACTCCTTTGGCAGAGCAAACTTGCCCCTGTGACATGGAGAAACCTAAGATTCCAGCCCACATCCCTTTCAGTATCCTTTCTGCAGCAATACAGTGGTACTTCGGGATACGAACTTAATCCGTTCCATGACTCTGGGCGTATCCCGAGTTGGTCGTAACCCGACGCAAATTTCCCCATAGGGTTCAATGTAAATCCGGTTAATCCGTTCCGCCCTCCGAATTTGGTCGCACCCCAAAGCAAATTTTCCCATAAGGTTCAATGTAATTACCGTTAATCTGTTCTGGCATCTGTGGACCACACGTCAGGGGCAGGAAAACGGCCAGGCGCTGCGCGGCGTGGCGGGAAAATGGCTGGGCGCCGCGTGGCGCGGCGGGAAAACAGCCGCGGACCACGTGTCGGGCGGAAAAATGGCCGTGGACCACGTGTCAGGGGCAGAAAAATGGCCACGGACCACGTGTCAGGGCGGGAAAATGACCGTACCCCGTGGCGGAGTTCGCACATTGAGGTAAATTTTTGCAGCCGGAGCTGGTCGTAACCCGAAAAGTTCGTTAGTAGACGCATTCGTATGCCGAGGTACCACTGTATAGGTAGTCCTTGGTTAATAATCACTTGTTCAGTAACCGTTCAAAGTTACAATGGTGCTGAATGAGTGGTGGTTACAACCGGTCCTTGAAGTTCCAGCCGTCCCAGCACCCCCATGGTCATGTGATCGCAATCCAGACACTTGTAAACCAGCTAGCTCTTATAACAGTTGCAGTGTCCTGCAGTCACGTGATCGCTATTTGCAACCTTCCCTGCTGGCTTCCCAGAAGCAAAGTCAATGGGGAAGCGGGCAGGGAAGGTGGCAAGTCACTCCTGCTCCTGCCACCTTTTGTCCCAAGGAGCCCAGCTATGGGCTATGAGATCCTGGGGATCTGGTACTCTGTAGTGTCCACCCGCAGTATCCCCCCACCTGCACTCTGTAGTGCACATCTGCCTGCCTGGCCATGCTCACACCATTCCACAGCAGCCACCTGCATGTCCTCCTGCACTCTGCAGCAGCCACCCCTGGCCATGCTCACACCATGGCAGCCACCTGCGTGCCCTCCCACATTCCACAGCAGCCATGCTCACCCGACCGCACTCATGCTGCACTGCTGCAGCCCCTCGCCACACTCCATAGCACTCACCAGCCCACCGGCTTGCTTGTGAGCTGCCCAGGACTTGCAACTTCCTGCCAGCTTTCCCATTGACTTTGCTTGTTGGAAGCTGGCAGGAAGTCATGAAGAGGTCCTCACTTAACCTGCAGTCTTGCTGAAGGACAGGAATGGGGACTGCTGGGACTGCCATCACTAAGTAATGCAGTAACATGACATAGCACTTTATAACTGCATCGCTAAACAATGGAAATTCTGGTCCCAATTACCGTTGTTAAGTGAGGACGACCTGTATGCATCCTACCCTTATAACTCTACTGTACTTGCTAATAGAAGTTCCAACTGTTCTGTGGATGATTTTATTTGCTTTTTACTGTCGGACCAGAACCTTAACATCTTCAGAAGAGTTCCATAATTTTTTTCAGATGCCATTGATTTACACAGGAAAACGTCCTAATTTTAGGATTTTATAAATATAAAATATTTTCTTAATCTTATATGCTATTTTATGTCTTTATGTTACATGTGACAACAATAAAGTGTGTGTGTGTGTGTATACACACAAAACCATATAAATGCACACATATTCATTTAGTAGTTTTGTAATTTGTAATTTTAGTATTTTATTCACAAAGCAGTGAATAAAATCAGTGAGTGGATCACTAGGAAGACATCTGAGGTGATTTTCAGAATCTTATTCTGCCATGCTCTCATTATTTAGCTTCATGGGAGATCTAAATAGGATAGTATTTATAGAGAAATTCTATTTCCTCACCATTCACATTGAATTTAATTGCTGAGACAGTATTATTTTTTTGTTCACCTTAGCTAGCACATCTTTGCTATTGGGCATTTATAATAAAAATTGGGCAGAGCAATCCTAATGTTAGTCAATATCAATCCCTAATTATGAATATGGAAAACAGAAATAACAACAGACAGATGTTTGCATCATTCCATTAAAAAAAAAGAGGGATTAAGTTTAGACCAGATTTCAAGCTCAAGCTATTTTTAGTTTAGTTTTTTTTTTCTCTTGTTTTTATTTTAATCTTTATGCTTAATTTTTTTTCCTGGAGCTTGGCAGTTCAATAGAGCAGAATGTCCCAAGTTCAGTTCCTAATGGCATCCCCTGTTTAAAGGGATCAAATAGCTACTCTTTCCAAGACTGTGCAGAGTTACACTATACCTGCCTTATCATATTTTAATTTTGAAAGGTGATAACCTGAGCATCAGCATGGCTGCCGCATCCCTCATGACTTCCATCATCTCATGAATGATTTTATGTCTTTTCTTAACATGAGCACTTCCTTCCTTTTTTCCTCCCTCCCTCCCCCACTTTTTTTAAACCAGGGAAGGGGGAATAGAGAATACCGAACCTTACAGAAACCTGCTTGTTTGACCTTGCTGCTTAGCAACATGCTTTTTAATACATACCACGGCAAATGAAAACAGTTATTTCTCAGTAAAAATGTTATTTTTATAAACTTCTTGAATCATAAATTTTCATAGAGAAGTATTTTCTTAGCCTTTGGGTTCTGAGTTGTTTTGTATACCCCAAACTGCAGTAATATAGGTTCTGGCATTTCCTTGAAGAAAATAAAAAAAGTTCCAGAGCTGTATATCTCAAGCTGACATTTAATCAAGATATCTAAGTAAACTGGTGATGTTTTATTTTTCCCCAAACCCCCCTCCAGTACAGAGTTTTGGAGAAGAGAATCTCATGACAAATAGCTACCATCTTAGCTGGCTATACTGTACTAACAATGACAGGATTCAGATACTTGACTTTGGAGGTTTTCTTTTGGTTTTCGTATCTGGCTTTTACACCAGAATTTGAGGCTGCTGTATTGGCAGTTCTAGAGTTTCTCACGTGGCTCTGTAGAGTTATTTGGATTAGAATTTTTTTTTTTTTTTTTTGCTAAACATTAGTTTCCCTTTCCTATGTAACATATTTGTCAGATTTTGTCATGCTGTGAGGTGGTTTCCAATGAGTTAATCTGTTGAAAATGCTTTGTTATTCATGCCTGGCTCAGGATTAATAATTCTTAAAGAACTAGTATGAGTCTTGCAAAATTGCCATTTTAATGCAAGGGCTTTCTTACTGCAAAACATAGAGAGTTTCCTCAAATAAACCAGGAGTTTTGTTCCTGTTGTTTCAGTAACAAACATCCATCAAATAAAGAAAAACAAAAGGACATATGTAAAATTCTGCTAATTTCAGTTGCTCAACTTCTGCACATACTAGCCCTAAATACTTGTATTGTCACAGAGATCCATATAGATGACCTTTTTTAACTATAAAAGGTTTTCTATTAAAAAAATGGAATTAACTTTAAAAGGGTTATAACAAGCAAGGTTTATTTTTCCCTGCTTCAGTGAGCATATTGATTTTTTCTGTCACCAGGTGGTAGAAATTGACTGAAAAGCAACTGTCTAAAAGTTCAGTACTGAACCCTGGAAGCAGGATGTATTGGATGAAGTTCAAAATATGTGCTTTGGAAACTGAAGAAGCTAAAGTAGCTATTATTGGAAAACATGGAAGAAAGCAAGATGGATAATGTTTTTAAAATATATTTTAATTACGGAAAATGTTTTATTTAAAATGTGTGTGCTTTTCTTTTTAGGGCGCTTTTTCGTGGAAACTCTGATGTTGATCAGCTAGGAAAAATCTTTGAGTAAGTACTAGCTTCCTGCATTTTCTGTCAAGGTCATTTCCCAGATAATTGATTTTTTGTTTAATAAGTGTACAGTATTCACTCATTTTGTTACACAAAAGTCCAGATACTTGCTTCTAAGCTGACTTTCAGTGTTGGTATTCCAAGATGATTGGATATGGGCTAAGATGCATTTAAGTCCCACTGATATCAGTGAAACAGGGTTAGGCAGAACTAAATGCCAATGATTTCAGTGGGAACTACATACAATTAACTTAGCCTGGATTCAAACCAATGTGTTCTGTAGTGGGGAAAATCTAGACCTTCCTCCCAACCCTTCTTCAGCAGTTTGATTACTTTGTATCAAGTCTGACTATATGAGGATCACCAAACTCTAAAAAGCTTTGTTTTACTTTTTAGTAAGTTTTAATTTTTAAGGTATATTCTCTGCCAGCATTGCTGAAGTGTTGAGTCCTACAAATGTTAAAAGTTATGATTATTCCTATGGCCCTTCATAATTTCAAAAACTTCTGTGGATAATCGTATTGCTTATGCTTCTCTCAGTTCTAAAATCATCAATTCATCAATCATCTAGTTACGATGCGTAGTTTTTGATACTTATCTGTTCCATCTGGGCTAAAGAGAAAATCAACTGTTTCCCCTCCTCCCAGTTTTCTGTTAATTCCATCTTTCCTGAGGGCTTTGGGAACTATAGGGGGAAGAGAGCTAGGGTACCACCCTTTTATGGCTCTTAGCTGTTTTCTTATCAAAGATCTGGTGAAGACTGGACAGTTAATCCTGCAGTCTGTCTGTGGGAACTGGACATTTCTTATGGGAACTTAGCAACTAGAGTTGAGCTGGCAATATTTCCAAAGCCAACACCATTAAGATGAAATCTAACAACACTCCTGTATTTAATTGAATTGTATTGAATCCTTGAATCCTCTTGTATTCAAGGACTGAATTGGTGGCTGCTGTCTTACCTAGCCTGGTGAAGCTAAGCATCCTGTTACAAATTGGTCATTTGTTGTATCAAGAACCCCAAATACAAATAAATTCTATACTGTATTCAGATTTTCATCTGTATATAAATATGAAGCAATGCTGTGTATATGGTACTATATTCAAATATATATTCTGTTTATGCCTCTGGTTTCTGGTCAGGTCAATGATACCATGCAGATGTTTGCTTCTACATATGGATTTCCTTATAGGATCAGAGCAAGGAGGCATCTGGGTTTGAGAGGATGGCATAAAGAGAAAGGGAGTGAAGGAAAGAAATTGCTATTCAACATTTGAATATGTTAAATCCTCAATGTTTGCCAATTAAACAGTATATTTATTTTAGTTTCATTTGACATATTCATAATTAAATTGAAGTAAATTAGAGTACGAGATAAAAGGTGTCTGCGTGTATCTGTGTGGGCATCATTCTTTCTGAGTCGAGACCAGATTGATCCATTTGGAAAGACTTCTGCTAATTTTTAAAAAAGCAACAAAAAGGAAACAGTGCATTTAGTCTGCCTTATCAATCTATCTATTTCCTAGATATTTTTATTTTGAACTACAAGTTTTCAATTGTTGGTTTTGGCTTCCATTTCCTGTACTTTACCCCATTGTATGTGACTCATCAGCATGGTTAATTTGTCATGCCACTGAATAGTTTTTCCTGCACGACTTAGAAAAAGTCAGCTCTCGGTGGTTTGGTTTTTCAGA